CGGACCGCACCATTCGGTGGATAATATCATTGATGCTACACAGACTGAAGACAATGAAACCGGGGTATTGGACCCATATTTGAGACACAGCATCGGAAGGCAACGTCGGGACAAACTCCCTCAAGGGTCTGCAGGAATTTCGAGTCTCCTATGTGTTTGCTGCATGCAAGACGGACTATTTTCGATTCACAAGATGAATGCATAGGCAATCTTGTCAGTTCAGCATACAGACAGTTTCCAGGTTGTTACATTTATCTCACTTGGAGTTTCATACGGAAGCTGAGCAAACTACTACAGAAAAAGAAAGGGTGCATTTTCCAATAGGTTCGGACCCTCAGTATCTTTGGGGATTTCCAAAATGGTATCACAGGTACGGTGTGCGTGTGTGTGTAAATCCCAGGTGCGGTGATTTGCAGACTGAAGGGCTAAGTGAACATGAATTTAATTGGACTAGCTATCGGGTGACATGCTTTCGTGCAATTCAGTGCAACATACAGTATCGTTTAGCTGTAGCACCTTTTCAGTACCTAACTACCACGCCACCCGAAGGTCGCACAAGGGCTAGGGTACTGCCCGGTTGCCCAAGCCTAGACAGGGGAAGTCAAGAGGCAGAGGTCGGGTTCGAACCACGGGCCTTCCGGTCAGTAAATTCGCGCTCTAACCACTTGGGCCATCTTATCCCCACATATCACATTGACATAGCACATCAACCCAGTAAAGATGTGATATCATCCTGGACCTGATCTGCAAGCTTTCTCTCTGTTCCGTATCAAGCAACTTATCAATAGATGTATATAAACACGTCGAAGAAATCAACCTCAGATAAAGACCTGTTTGCTTAGTTTGTTCCTTCCAGTACACACCCTTCCCTGAGAGCGAATAGGTCTCAGATACTGATGTAGAGACAGCAGTCCGTGGAGCTCATTAATGACTCATCTTCATCATCCAATCTCCACAGGACAAACCACCCCGGTGGCGACGGTTCTGGATGTGACGTTGAACAATTGTAGACGCCTGCCCTGTCCAATTATCCCTGGACAACCGATCAACTACACCGTTCACATTCTACTTCGTAAGTTTGCAATTTCCTTTGTTGATTTCGACTAAGTGCCCAGCTTCTTTCCACAGAACTATCCTTGAAGCCGAGTGCGTTAGGGACGATGGAGTTGTAGACATACATTCGGAGAGTGGTTTACTTCTGGACAGGTGTTCGGGCAGTCCAAGAGCTACTGCTCTGTCCATTTATGACGACGAATTCCTTTATTCAGCTGGTTTGGTAGACAAAACACCATCAAGAAGTGAACAATTCACTACTATGTCTGAAGCGAAAATAAGCGGTAGCCCACAATAGAATCAAAGCAATCGATCACAGTTCACCTACTTTCGATCTTGCTAAAAACAAGTGCATCAGTCTAGACGTAACATACTACTCATATGGTTGCTGAAAACTCTCGGACAGCCCGACGACCGACTTCGCCCTCCCACTTGAACCCTAATTGGACAGATTTCGATAAATAGTCTCCTCCTGCACACGAATTTGGTTTTAACAGGAGGTGAATACGCCCGTTTGGTGCTGCACACTCAGCTGAAGCTAACCGTCATAAAAGAGAGGTTCAGACGTCAATAACATCGCACTCATGCACCAAAATTCCCAGCGAAAACCAACCCACCGCTTCTCCCCTCCACTTCTTTTTTTCAGGACTGCCAGTCATCCATTTCTACTACGTCGTGGGGTGGAGATGGACATACGAGAGTGGTGAAAACTTTGTGGAGCGTCACCTTTATGGGTGGTACATGGAGCAACTGTCCCATCAAACCGTCAATTTTTACGGTATCCCGGGCAAGCCTAGGGTGAGTCATGTGTATGTACAGTTTGATCGAATCGGACCAACCTGTCGTTGATTGGTTTCCAGTCGCAACCAAGACTAACCCCACCATCCCGGATGTCCCCATTTTGTTCCAGCCCAGTGGTGCCAGGCTTTGGATGGTTGCCTATGCAAGAAGGACTGTCATGTTCTGTGTGAACACTATCGTAACATCCGCAGTAGAAGACATCGGAAGTCGGTGTGCAGAAGCGCATTGAGTTATATGGATGAATAAACACTGTTCACAAATAAAGACCACTCCTCCTCTTCTGGATTGGACCATTTCCAAGTGGGGATGTTCTAGGAGAAATTCACCGCACCAATTGTACGTGAACCGACAAACTTTGTGATTAGAGTAGAAAAAAGTGACCCCGTACCCCAACGGACTTGTGTTTGTCAGTTGTCCGAAAGCATAACATTGCACAGAAAAACGATGGGTGCATGTGTCAGAGTCATGCCTGACTGCTGCCCCCGCTCCAGTACCTGGTGCCGGAAAAATACTCGGCGACAGAGAACACAACAGTTTTATCACAACAAGCGAGTGCTAAAGTTACAACGGCCCCGCTCTATTCATTGATCCGGGCTGTCTGATCGGCCTTTGGCGAACACCCATGAACATCGACCGTGCTTCTGTGAAATGCCTGAACGCTTATCGTAGTCGGTCGTGCCTCCTTGGCGTGCCTAAAAACTCACCGGCCTTTGCTGAGTTGATTGAATGATTGACTAGCCTGGATGTCTGCCGGCTCCCCTATTGAGATTTTAGTGGAGTTTTAGAGACTCAGTAAGTTCCTGACATTCTGGATTGTTTTCAGGGCCAGATGGCTCAAGTGGCTAGAGCGCGAATTTACTGACCGGAAGGTCTGTGGTTCGAACCCGACCTCTTCCTCTCGACTTCCCCTGTCTAGGCTTGAGCAACCTGGCAGTATCCCAGCCCTCGTGCCTCCTTCGTGTGGCATGGTAGCTGGGCATTGAAAGAGTGCTACGGTTGAACGAAGGTTATTTTCAGAAAACTGACCTTCCTTACACTGACTTTTAGGTAGTGTGGTGATATGTGGCTCGTACTGCTAACCTAACAAGCTGACAGTAAAGTTCGAACGTTTGAATTAGTGTAAGAAAAGTAAGCTAGACTAAAATTGAGTAAAAAGAGAGCAATGTTTTTGCTAGTGATGATCCCTCGCCACTAATACGACTCTGGGACTTTAAGAAAAGAAAGACGAGATGCTTCACTGGTTAAGGCGCAAACTTACTGACCGAGATTCGTGGTACGAACCCAAACTGTGCATCTCGACTGCTCCTGTCCGGGTTTGAGCAATGTGGCATTATCTCCGGGTGGCAGCTGCGCACCGAAAGAGCTTAACCACAGAGAAAAGCGGAACACAGATTTTTCCAAATCCGGAGAGATTGTGGGCATTTCCAAAAGGCTTTGGGCTTTTTATCCTCAAACGAGTAGTTCCAGTTCCCGAAGGACCCACCAACCAATCAGAATTAATCTTCGTGGGTATTTATGAGCCGACACAGGGAAACAAACATTATCTCATGCAAAGATGTAATAAAAACAACCATCATTATAACGCTGCGGACAAATAATATGGTACAAAGCGTCTTGGCGTATTCGATAGCTTAGTATGGGACAACTCGACGATTTGTCCGACTTGTCGATGTTTCATGCGGGCGCCTATCACTGCCCGATCGCTCACGACGTCTGCTGCCTCCAGGACGGTAGTCATCTCGCCGTTCTCGTGCAGTGGTGTCGATAACAGTCCTGCGAGTGTCATCCAAACCAGACCTCTCAAACCGCCCTCCTCTATCAATCGGGCGAGAGAAGCCATCACGACGTCCACGAGAGTATGGTGAGTTCCGACGTGGCACACGGCCACCGACATCAATGGGGTTTGCGGCGGCCGAGTAATACGTTGGTTGTTCCACTGCAGGTGCTGGAGCAGGAGTAATAGCGACGTCAATCATATCGCCGATGATGAACTGACAGTCCTAAAACAGCAAGATAAGGATAGCGTGGGGATGCTAAAGTGGGCGTCAGAGGTCATACATTGCTGCTTTACGCAAATACGTATAAGCTACTTGAAATTAGTAAGTAGTATGAATTAAAAATAACTCACCCGACAGGCGGTTAAGTGATGACAATGGGGGTTTAGATTGCCGGAACGGCCGTTCAGATGGCAATTCTCTGTGAGGTATCCTTTAGCATATGATTTAAGTGAAGATCCCGTCCGAAAAGCGCCCTCACCATAAAAATTCATAACAGTGAAGTTCGACAAGTCGTGAAGTGGCGCCGGGACCTGCGAAACTTTATCGTTCCCGATTACCAGTTCAGCTCAGAGACCATAATAGTTTGTGTTTCTGACGTCCGCTTACATTCGAAAGTCGAGTGAACTGACTGCCCAAAACGGCCTATCGTCGACGAGCAATTATGGGCTGACAGCCTTAAAAACAAGACGAGCCACGGAGGGTATGGATCGCAAAAAGTACCCGTTTTTTTAATATTTCAATCAAAACTTTGATTTAAGATGATCCACTTCCACTTGGAATTAAAATAGCAACAGAGCGATTAAAACAGCTCCATTCGAAAACATGTAAAAACTGACTTGAAAACTGAAATGGGGAAAGTCGACTGCTCGTAAACAGACAGGTAAAGTGCAGTGTTTCAGTTCCAAACTTTAGGAGTTTATTGGCGATTTTTCAACCCGATCATCTGTTACGCAACTCATACAATCCTCTCTAACTAGCGATGAAAATGAGGAAATTTCCCCACGGGGTGTATGTTTAGTCACCAAACCATGGGCTCGGAATTTTACCGGGTGTTTAAAGTGTGGTCGGATCCAGAGAACCTCAGTGACACGGGTACCTTCGCCCCTATTGAAGCATAAGGCTAGCGAAAAAGAAATTCGACACATTTTCTGTGTACACGTCGCCTCAACTGTTAGGCAGGATTCCACACGGATCCCGCTATACCGCACGTCTTCAGGCGCTGCTACGGCCGATAAGCCTAGCCCGCACGAGACTGACCAAGAATTCGGGACGCTTGCCGGTCCGGCATCAAGACGAGATCTGATTGGTCAACAACCTGGACCCAACAGGCAATCATAACCCAGTATTGGCCAAATGCCGGTTGCCAAAGACGCATTCAGAACGCGTCAGAAATTCCAAAAAGTTATAGCCGCTTACGCTATATATACGAAGCGCTGTACAACTGTTCCGGACTTTGTTTTGGGCATTAATAGACCTTGTGCACCTTTGGTGGTTTCTTTGACGTGAACGCTAGCTTGGGAGGCTCAGACCGAGAACTAAGCTGGGGAAAATACCGTTACTACATAGACAAAGGCTCACGTCACCGACCCACATTGATGGGTCTCAGCACAGACGAAAGCAGTCGTGTTTTTCGGATCCGACCACATCTTTACTTGCACAAAACCCTTTGAAAACAGACTGAGGCCCCGAATTCCCCACAACCAGTTCATTATACCAGCTTGGTTGCCATGAATTTTGTTGCACGTACGAATCCCGAACAGGATATTGCGGGACAGTACTACTTCATGGGGATATCGGAATGAGAACGGGAGAATCTGACCGGTGCAACTCCGCATTCTGCAGTACCTTGTCACACTGATGATGAGACCCTACGGTAGAACGTGTGGTTTAATTAATTCATTCAACTACTCGTAAGACAACCGTCTGTATTGCCTACAAGAACAAAACGTTAAACTCTGACTAAAATGAGCAGCGCTATGTCCGAAGCGCGGTTTATTAGGTAATAAAGTACTATCAGGGAGGTCGCGGGTTCAAGATCCCTCCCCCGCACTGCTGATTATTCTCAATAAGGATGAAAAAAGCAGTATGGTGGCAGTCTCCCTAACACTACCATCAACAGAAGTGATCATTTATTTCACTGCACGATTTCAATGAAGGCATTTTCGAACTTTCTAAGTTGGACAGTTGCAGCACCCTCTCAACACGCCATCGGAAGGAAGCACAGGGGCTGAGATACTGCCAGGTCAATCAAGCCTAGACAGGAGCACTCGAGATGCCGCGGGTGGGCTCGACCCATGGACCGTCCGATT